ACTACTAGGAGCAAGTAGCTACAAGGGGCTCCTGGCCTTACTACTAGAATTTGATTTCGAACACAAGAAACACCTGAACATTGGACCCTTAAGGATCTCAAGGTGGCTCGAACCCCTCGCCGAGGCTCGGGGACACGGTGGCGCCGAGCCGTGCTCCTGAAGCTGCTCCAGGACCCGACACCAAGAGGTGTCTATAAATGGCCTCAATTATATAGAGGGATTTGGGGTGTCCAAAAACCACCGGACTTGGAAGGTCCCTGTAGTTGATAAACTCTCATGGAGATGAACCCAAAAAACGTTCGAAGAGCACACCTTTTTCGGAGTATTGACGTGAGTACACCACCCTCTCCGTGGTCGAAAGAGGGCAAATCAGTCGACTGGTTCTTCTCACTCTATCCCAGCAAGCCGGATGAACAGGGCTGTGAAGTTCGAAGCGGAACCAAGTACACCCCCAAGTCACTCACATGATATATTATGCCCTATGGATCCAAGTACCCTCTGAGAAGGTGGGACTGGGGTGGGTGCCAGGAGGGTCCAAGTACCTTTTGAGGAGGTACGACTGGATCCCTAGGGATGGGTAGTTCTTTGGTAAAAAGCCTTCAAAGCAATGGCGCTTGAAATCCAATTTGACGGCCCGCCAAAAAATATTGGTACTTCCCATAGTCTCAACACGAATCTCAGCTGCGATGACACGAAAAAAAGAAAGAAACAACACCTACCACTCAAATGCTCCTCCCTATATAAGAAAGAATCCTTGGGCTCTGCATGGCAGGGGTCGGACCCTCCATAGCAAGGGTCTGGGCCCTCAAAAACCTATCTGTTCGAGGGCCCGGATTCTTAGGGCTGTCTTTAAAACAAAATATGGATCCTATTTAACGCATTCTGCATGTCCATCATTCCCAAACGATCCATGTGTGGCGCAAATAAAAAAATCGCCTACATAACTGATGGTTTTGGGTGAATGAATGTAATGTAGACTCTTGATTATTAACCCCCTCAAATTGAATGCACTCACTTGCGGTCCATGGGCGCTTCCACATCACCCCTTGCCGTGTCTTACGGCGGGTATGAGTGGAGTGGGTGAAAAGCTCAAGTGACTAGTGTACACAACCTACGACAAAATCTATAAATTGGAATGAAACACCTCTTCATATGGGGGGGTTATTAATCAAGAGTCTACATTAGGTCATATTTACATCTACTTTGGCTTCGACCCTCAGGTCGACGGCCACCTGAGGGCCGCGTTCAGTCTTAAAACCCTCAGTTCGATCTCTGTGGCTCCAAGCGACATAAAACCAGACCCCAGTTCGTGTCCGTTTCATCAAATGGTACGCTTGTCTTTTACATTGTTCGTGTCACCAAATCCAAAAAGAAACCATAGGAAACCGCTAAAGGAACCCCCAAACTGGATCGCGCCTTCGCCCACCAAGCTGTTGCCATGCCTCGGAGAGGGCCGCGTTCGCACGGCGGCACCGGCACCGGCGTTCCGCGCATGCAGAGCCGGCATCACAGGGTTTTCAGAGTCACATTCCATGGACATATAATAGGATTCTAACATCCGTGGAAGAGAAGCCTGTTTCAGTTAAGCACCACTTATAAGAGTACACCAATCGAAAGATGGATCAACATGTTTCTGGTGGGTGGATTGAAGTTATTTCAGTGGCCTGGCAGGCCCAAGCTTTCAATAGGCATCATAACGGATAAAGCACTGGTCAAAGGTGTCAAACATGAGGGGATGAGCCACAGCTGTGAGTTGACCAGGAAACATTCGCAATGGCTGGAGCACGGTCTTCGGACTTCGCGCCGTACGACACGGCTTTGCAAACCCTTCATCACATTCTCCACTTCAATGGCCAACTTCCACCCATCCCTGTTGTATAAAAGTCTGTTGGCTGTTGGCGAAACGCAACGAACATCCAACGAACATGTTCACTTCCTGGAAGCACAACTAATACATGTTCCAAAAATACTCAAACAATCATGCATGGACGTGGACGGCATGGCGCCTGGAACGACTCTGAAGCACCAAACCCAAACACTCCGGACTGGAATACTGACCTATACTTCGACCCCTGAAATCAACCACCCCAATGTACGGATTCATATGCCAGTCCCAAACAGGTCGTTTCCAGGTCCCAAGAGGGACGAGGTCTCTTTTCTTCGATCCTGCGATCGCCTACCATCCTGCAAGCATCCTGCTTCGACCCTGAGGGCTCTGACTGCTGCAAACTGGCCAGAAGCTGCTGGATGTGATTTTCCTCGGCCACGGAAACCCGTTTCGGAAGAACACCGAAACGCCCATGTGGAGTTGCGGATCTGGCTGATCCGAAACGGGCTCCCCAAGTCCTCCGAAATGCAGATTTGTTCATCGGTTGATTTTGGGGGTGTTCCATGGAGGAGGCTATGACTAACTAGGAGATTGGGAGTTCAGTAGAAAATTGTTAAATTAAATGTTGTCTCACAAAAATTGGCATGTTTCGAGCGTGGAACAAAACAGTATTGGACAGCATGAGTCCAAATTTCTCAGCAACACCGACGCTAGTGTGTCTTGCTGCTTGTGGGTCAGACGTCGAATGTCGTCGGTGGCTTCAAGATGTTTAAAACAAATCGAGGTCAGCAGTCCAACAAATGGATGTAGGATGTTTGGTCCCCATGGTGGAGTCTAATGGGATTGAATATAATTGTATAGTTCAGTTGCCGCCTGTGGTTTTTGGTGTCTTCGGGTGTAGGGTGAAACCGCAGTGGACTCATCAGCTAATGGACAAAATAGAGCGCTGGTAGACCCTTTTTTTACTTTAAATATGATGTGTATTTGTTCATGGAAAAAACACAATCACAGAGCGAGGCCTACACAAGATCGTCCAACCCAACCATGCTCTCCTTCAACTCCAGTTGTCGCTCTTTCTCGTCCAGTTCGTTCCTGGCAAGCGGCCGGGGCTGGGGATGCCAACGGAGCTGACTTCCTGAGTTTCCGGAAATATCATGGTCAATCATTTCTTACCTTTAGGATTGCCTGGTTCACCAGCTTTAATCTTTGGAGAAGAAAACAGCAGAAATCCTTGTTCCATCTGTTCTTGGATGTTCTTGGAATGATGGGAAACCAATCCCCCCAAGTGACTGAGTCGGGTACTCCATGCGTCGCCCCACATCGAAGGTTTTGAGGATTTGGAGGATTCTAGGAAGGGATGAACACGTTTTGACATAGAACAACACATATTCACCACTTAAGACACGTGCCCGAACCAATGAGGACCGTCTGACTTCATGGGCTTCAGCCACCTACAGGGCAGTACAGTAGATAACTTTGAATCTGGATCCGCTTGTGATTTTGGAATGCAACTGAGAGCCGCTTGATGCGCAGCCAACCAAAACCGACGCCGATGCGATGCGCCACGAGACTGCCGCGTTGAGAGATCTCTCCAGACTGCTGCGGTTGGGAGGGTTTTCAATTGGAACAGCATTTCCTAGGTGTGAAAGTCTGTTGAACAAACCCCCCATATTGAAGAGGACTCAAAGGACTTCCAAACTCTTCATATGGGGGGAGCTTATTCCTCTTAGTCACTGACCTGACAGCTACAGCTGTGCAGGACTATAGCCTCCAATGGGGGAGCTTATTCATCTAGAGTCTGCATATTACTTGGATGAACGAGGCCGCACCCGATCACCAAAGACATCACCCGACACTCCTCAAGCTGCGGATCCGCGCGGCGTCCTCCGCCGCCGCGTCCTCGGACGTCGGGACGTTGGGATCGAAATGAGATCGAATTGGTAGTTTTGGCAATGTGTGCAACTGGAGAAAATCTGCAAATCTGGTTCAAAAACCACCATGGAAAAAAGAAGAATCACAGAATCACGTGCAGTGTGTGAAATGTGAGCCGAAACATCTTCAACTGATTGGGATTCGCGACGATCTGTATTTCCAATAAATAGTGGTCTGCTGCATTAAATCTGATCTTCCAAAGACCTGCAAAACCTGGCCGCTCTGGCTGTTCTTTAATGCAAATCTCTTCAAAATTGTGGGACCCTCTGGGGGCCGCAGGCTCCAGCCCGAAGCAGCTCCAGTTGCTGTTTCACCTGCCAGTCGCTCCGCGAGAAATGCGCGGCCGGTGAAAGCATCTGCTGGGGTCATGGGCCTGAGGGCAACAAAAATGGTGTCATGAACCAGCACCAGGAGGAAATCAGGTCTTTCATGGATTGAGCTAATGATCACCAAAAAGCGAGGAGTGTGCACCCAAAGGGAACAAATCATTTGCACCAGACGCTCCATGTCACCCCTCAAACCACCCCAAGTAAATCTGGCAGTCCCATGGAGTGTCTCGGATTTGCACCAGACCGGCCATCCAAGGAAATTCAACGGCACCAAGTGCTTCCTCGTGTGGATGGTGTCGATGTTCGCGGCACCAAGCTGGGGATATGAACGTTTGTGGCGGCTCATGGGGGCATGAGGCCCAGCAAGGCGGCCGATGTTCCAACCGCCAAGTGAGCCACTCTAAAAACCTGGAGTCACTCCCTATGTCGTATCACTTTCCTTGCGCGAGGCCTTACGCGATGCTTACGCGGCCCTCACTTTTGCTTACGCAAAGCAAACTTCCGAAATGCTTATGCGATATGCTTACGCAATCTTACGCAACCCAGGGTTTTGCTTACGCGGAATTCGATATGACAAGGTCCTTACTTAAGATGTAAAGGCAGGTTTTTAGAGCGGCTCAAGTGAGTAGTGATCACTGACCGAGCCCAGGCCAAGTGAGCAATTAGAAGAATCTGACAGAATGATGCAAGCACATTGTGAGAGACAAAGTGTCCAACATCCTTATTCTCAACATTTCTCAACCATCCTTCAAGAAGTTAGAACCTAAAGCACAATTGAAGACTGTTTCGCAAACACATCAAAAACACATCACCTGCACTCTGTGCTGCCCCAAGAATCCAGCACTGCCCTCTACTCCATACACCTGCCCCAGGTCCTTCTTCATTGCTCCTGGAAGAGTCAACTCTCCAGCCACCTGCCCTGTCCGCTGCCACGCCTCCAGCAGTTCGGCGTCCCGTTGGTCCAAGTGCTTCTCGGCCATCTGCGAGCGCTCACCGCACCGCGCCGGACGCCGAGTGCAGCGCCCAGCGCGAGTGCACGGAGTGCACGCGTGAAGGGATGGACCCAACGGGAAGGTAGGGGCTCCTGGCCTTACTAGGAGCAAGAAGCTACTAGTAACAAGTGCATCGCTTCTAGTAACAAGTGCCTTACTAGTAGTAACAAGAAGCTAGTAGAAACAAGTGCCTTACTACTAGGAGCAAGGATGCTAGTTTGTCTTTGCTTCGGCTCCCCTACAGTCCGTGTGACCTGGAGACGAAATGTGCTAGTCCTACCTCAGGTGAACGACTGGACCCTCCAAACCCATGCACCTACATCACTACAACAGTCTCCCTGCTCACCGACCTGATTCGGGGACGTGGATCTCAGGGCGCGCCCGAAATCTGAGCCGCGCGATCTCACACCCGCATCCGTACTGGGAAAGTGCCCACACGATTGCTTCCTTTGTCGCGCCCAAACCGCGACAACTAAGATGGCATCCTTCTGAGTGCGATCGATCCACGCTGATGCCCGCTGTGCCCATGGGTTCGGAAAGATCTTCCTATGCAACATGTCTGCCTGTTTTCCACCTACGGAAGGCATAGATCTATATAGATCTTGCATAGTCGGAAGATCCAAATATGACTCCATTCCAATACAACACATGGGAGTCCTTCATCTTCCCGGACCAGTCAGGCTGCCTGCAGTGCAGCCTCTTTCCCATCTAGCTCGTACTCGAGGCACAACACCTGGAGAAAGGTCAGGATGCGTGGAGAAGGGGGGGGAAAGGATGGCAGAACAAGAGAACTGGAGATGCCGATTATCATAATCTACTACTGTTACTAGATCTACGTATACCTAGACCCCGCAAAAGACGTCTTTTTTCCGGTGGGGGCAATTTTCAGGCGAAGCTCAAAAAACCCAATTATATAAGCTAGCAGTTTTGGTGTCGATGTTTGTTACTTTTACGTTGGTTTTTGTCACTTCTGCATCATGTTGGTGTCATGTTTTCTATCGCGAACTTGCTGCATTTTTCTGCGTCATGTCTTCTGGCGAGACGGAAAAAAAGACATCGTTTCAGGGTCCCCAGGTATATATCTAAGTCTCTTTCTATTTGGGATCTTGATGGAAGAATGATGGAGACACCACCTGGAAGAGTTTCAGGGTGCAACGGCAGAGGTTCATTCCAAAGCAATGTGCCCATGGGAGCTTGGCAGGAGCTGTTCGCCGACTTCTTCCGTCGCAAGGCAAACTTTGGAAAGAAGGAAGGTGCTACCTAGCAAGGGCTTGCGGAACTCCCGTGATACCCCCGACCCTCAGTCGCTCCTTCCAGAGCACCAGCTAGCTACAAGATCTACAAGTAAAGGAACCCATTAGTTTCACAAACCCAATACTCATCGTGTGCCAAATTACATCAACCACCGACGTCTTATTTCTCTTTGGAGTTGAAAAGTACCGAGCCATTTTTGTGTCAGGGATGTTCACTGTAGTGTACAGTGTGGCCCGAGATCGGTGTCCAATAATTAGACCCAAAGCTCAGCCTGGCTCCCAAATCAAGACAAAATCTCAAGATTCAACGAGTGAACATACCCATCCCCTGTGTATCCTTCATTCGTGGCAATTGGCAAAAGAACAGCTATTATTTGTGCCGGGCCGTTGTTTCCTGGCGGGTGATTTTTGTTTGCGATACATGGCTATGGGATGCGATGGGCTCATGGCACCCCATCGTGCCCAGTTCACAGACACAGCCAAGAACGCAGATGTCAACCACCCTAGACTGTGGAAAAAAGGAAGGGTGTGCTGTGCCTTAAAGCTACAAATACGTACATTTCCTGGAACTAACATGGAAGTAGATGGCAGGGTCAATTGAAAGGCCATGAAATCCTCTACACGGAAAGGGCACTTGCATGTGAGTTCCAGGGAGAGTATACCATGTGCCAGTGACATGGCATTCGTAAGAACAAAGTAGGCCTTTCTGTGACGTCACTGGCCCAAAGAATATAACCCTTGAAGGGAGAGTATTTAGGTTGGAGGCCATTAGGTTGGAGGCCATTGCCATTAGGTTGGAGGCCATTGCTACTGGGTAACCCGAAAAGAACCGCTGGGCCTTGGGAAGCTGCCAGGATCCGGACGGATCCCTGGCCTGTTGCTGCGCTGCTTCCTTGCGGCTGCGCTCTGCGGACACGTGCGCTTCCAAGTGGTCCTCCGAAGAGGCGTAGGAGTGGGCAATGAGTTGCTATATGAGTTGCTGCAAAATGACAACGTAGAGGTCAAAGGCCGATTTGACGTGAAGTCTAAGGTGGTGTTTTGAAGCCTTCGGGCCTGCAGCCTTCTTCGGGTCCTCTCCCCTTGCCCTTCACATCCTTCACCAACTCTGTACATCTGGTAGGACATCACGAAATCCTATTGCTGCCATTGATCAAGAGTCTATAAGTACATCCCATAGTTGAACGAGTTGTCTCAAAATATATCATTGATGTTGCGCGTTCTGAGCACAGGCACCAGAACCACCTGTTTGGGTGATCTTCTTTCTTTGAGTTTTGAGTTGAGAAGTGCCAGAAGAGTCTGCCACACTCTGCCAGATGACAGCTGCAAGAGTTTGCGTTCTCCACGGCCACTATAGGATACCCTCACTGGCCCTCATGGCTCCGCCGTGCGCAACGATCGCCCTCCCTCTCCGACCAACGGACGGTGACGATGTCGACCGGTGATGTCGGATCCCACGAGCTGTGCTGAGGGGAGAAACAAACCCTGAGGGCACCCAACACTGTCATGGCCACCTCCATTTTGGGTGCGTGGTGGGATAGCTTTTCGGTGTTCATGATGCAACTTTAAAAGACTATATATGTATATGTTGGGATCTCCATCAGAGTCGTCTCATTTCAGAATGAATAGTCGATTAGTCGATTCGAAACGCTTCAGAATCTCTGAAATGCAATCGATTCGAAATGCATTCTGGGAGTCTCTACTTCAGCCCTCCCTCTTCTGTCAACGCCGTGTTCGGATCCGCGAACGGATCAGGTACCGAATGGACCACCGACGGTTGGTCCAGGTGATCCCGGGGACGCAGCACATGTCCCGAAACACACTTCCTCCACCCTCTCCTTCATTCTGCCATCACTGGGCTCCTGGAGCACATTGGACTAGAGCACACATTGGGAACTGGCTTGCTCTCGAACTAGATCGGAGGTTTCTTTGGATGGGTTGTCTAGATCAGAGGGCTAAGTCAAAGAGTCATCTAAACAACTCAATACAGTAAAAACTCATGACTCATAACTCATAAATTACTCAAAATTTAATAACCAGATATTTGATATGTGGGAACTGATGACCAGTCACCCACTTCAGCGGTCCGTTCCAATGACATGCCATGCGTTCCATGCGTTCCGTGCATCGGTTGCTTTGTTGCTTCGACCTCTGAAGCCGTGACACGAGTTGCCGCAGTGACACGCCAGCCATGCTCGGCGATCCGCCCTTTGAGAATGAATATGAAGGTAATTGAAGGATATTGAAGGTACCTTCTCTAACATACATCCCAACTCTTAACGTTGTTGCTTTTCTTTTTCCGAAAGACTTGGCGCTCCATAGAGGGCTTGGCATATCTTGCACTGTCTTGAGTCCGGAGCGTCTGCGCATCGATGAGTAACTTGCCCGTCCGCCCTGGTTGGTGGTTTCAATTCACGAACAACACATATTTGTCACTGGGCTCACTCATCTCAAATAAAGGTTGAATATTGATATGAAACAACAACCCTTAAACCTTATTACCTGTCTCTACTTTGTAATAGTACTCTACTTTCTACTTCCTTGTCACTGGGCATCATCATGTACCCTTCCATCTTGCCATTTTCTGGACATGGCATGACATGGCAAGTTAATGGCAAGTAAATTCCTCACTTCTACTAAGAGTGAGTTCTCTTTTTGCAGGAGTATGTTCAAGAGTTCTCCCTCGACAGGCCGGTGCTGGTGTTCACCTCCCGTCCTGGCTTTGTCGCCGCCGCAGCATCTGGATCGTACGGATGGCCTGGAGTGGCTACAGAGTCCAGGAAGAAGAAGTTGAGCTGAAGTCAAAGAAGAACAACCCTAGGTTTGTTACATTTATCATCGTTTAGACCTTCATTGATGCTGATCCTGAGAAGGTAGGGAGGGATCTTGACCTGACCAGTCCCACAGAAAGCTTGAAATATGGCAGCGACTTTTCTGCAGGACCCCCCTGCACATTATGATATGGAACATCAAACAAGCCAGCTTGGCAGCAAACGGCGTGAAGTCACCAGCAGGAATGATTTATGAAATGTATGAGAGATTTTCAAGTAGCTGGGACATAGTTGGATTGTGAGCTGAATGCACATTGACACCCATAAAACAATCACTGAACTCTTCCGATTAAACACTGCATACATTTGGTGAATGCACCAGACTGTGCATCAAGGCCATCCATGATCATCCATGTGCATCACCGCCATGGGAAGTGATGTCAAAAGCTAGCTTAGTGCTTTAACCCGCCAACCGCTGAACTTTGTTGATGCCTTTTTCATCGATGTTGTTCTCCGTGGGGACACCATTCCCCAAGGAGAATTATATAGAAACTTGGATCTGCATACTATGGTGACCCAGAAATGGACAAGCACGCCAACCATTTCTAGTTCGATCTATTTGGGGACCTTGGCAACCCCGCCTCTTGCTGCTGTCGTTCGTCTTCCTCGCTCCACCCCGGACCGGAAGACACCACAGGAAGACCTGCGTTTGGGAGACTCATGGCGAAGGCGAGTTGCTTGGCGAAGGCGAGCTGCTCACTGCGACTTACGTTCCATGTACATGGAGTTCACAGCCTGTTTGTAAGGGAAAATAGATGAACACAGGAACTTCCCAGTCAGCGCGTTTCGCGCGGACTTCCACGTTAGTGAGTCGGGTACAGAGTAGGTAGTACACAAGATGGTCCCCTTGCCTATGGCCTGTTGGCGAGTTGGTCATGGCCTGTCATGGCCATCAACTCGTTCAGTGGAGAACAACTTCACCAGCAACTGGTGGAGTACTTCAATCAAGAACAACCACAGATTACAGATCTTGCGAACCAGCTGAACTCTCATTGAACTCTCAAAGACTCCCATGAATCACTGTGGTTCACCCTGGGTCAGGTTGGAAGCCAACCGTTGGTCCAGGTTCAATGTTCTTTCGACATTTCTCCATGTGCAGTTCGGAACTTGCCCGCACCTCCATGTCCCATTGTCCTTCGCCTCCGTTCCGAGTGCCTTCGAATGCTTCTTTTGGAAGTTTCGTGAAGTGAAACTTCCACAAGATCTATCACCTTTCGAAGTACCACAAAGACTTCTCCCCGAATGCTTCTCTGAACACTATCTGGAAGTTTCAAACATGACATGTCTGGGGACTGGCATTGGACTGCCGATCAGTTGGTGGGGTGGTTGATGACAGGCGTCCATTCATTGTCCAACACCACAAAATCACAATGAGTTAAACTATATACATATTAACGAATTTTGACCAAACATCTCTAACAAACCATCAACAAACACGCACAGGTCAATCAATACCTGGACAATCTCTTTGCCCATCTTTTTGTTTTTTGTTAATATGTTTATCAAAACAATGATCAACATCTGTTTCTCTGGGTGCGGTGAATCCCGAGTCGACTCTTCCCTCCTCCGGTCCGACCGCCTGTCGGCAGCGGTGCAGCGACGTCGACGGAAGGCACCGCGGGCGCCGAGACATCCAGCGCCAGCACTGGTGCCGTTGGGGCAGCCTGAGGGTGGGGGAAAGGACCTGGAGGAGAAATGAGGAGGATGAAAATCAATCTGGACTCTGGCAGCCGTTTTTTAATGTTGGATCCTTTTGCAATGTTTTTTTCGAGGGAGACCGGCCTTCTTTCCGGATACTATTAGATCGGTTTTGATGGGGCGCATGCATGCGAGGACCGACCTGCGCGGAGCTGCTTCGGCCAACATTGGTCGATGTTGGGGACACCCGAAGACCAATGTCCAAGAGGACCACATGTTGAGACGAGGTTGACTGGTGCCGTTGAGACCGGCAAACCGTGGGAGGCACCTTTTGTCTCCACTCAGCCTGGGTTCAGCCTGGGTTCTGTTGGTTCCCTCAATTCAGATCCAACACACGTCTTTCGGTCGCGCAAACGGTCGCGCAGCTGGTGTGTTGACGCTCATCCTAACAGCAGCTCATGCATGCTGTTTCACTCAGCATGCCTTAACAAATATGTTGGCACCTGGAATCATTACAAAGAACATCCTCAGATCTTTAGGATCTCAGGGAGACTGGTTACCCCCCCCCCAAACGTTTCAAGTGGAAAAAGACTGTAAAGAACCCAGTCAGCCGAGTCAATGTTTCGTCCATGGCAATACAATTGACATTGGACACCGTCTCTGATTTTGGACACTCGCCGCCACCACCACATTGTTCTGATTTCTGACCTCATCTGACCTCCTTGCATAGCAAAATGTGGACTGCCTGGATTGCTATAGTTGCCGAACGATGCAGGTGGACTAGCATATGCGCTAGCTGTCATCTTTCTAAGTCCATACAGTTCGACTGCGAAATAATACCTTTCAAAGCACCAAATACACTCGGCTTCAAGGACTCAAAGCTGGTGTCTGAGACTCATACCGCGTGTTCCGTCGAAACACTGCGACTCGAAACTGTAGAACGAGATCGCCGAGTCGCCGAGTCGCTTCGCCTCTTCCTCCAAACGAGTCCCCCATGTCAACCAAAATAGGACTCATCTATCTAGCCTCTTATAAGTCCCTTAGCCGTTGCACCCGAAGTGACCCCAAACCGCCGCACCCAGTTCGCCCACCTGAAGACGGTCGATGGGCAACTTCAGCGGCGGCCGTGGCTCCGTCCCTCCCGGCACGACCGGCGCCTCAGCTGGACCGGTTTTCGGAGCACCACTGGGTGGTAAAGAAACATATTGTAAACTGAGTTGTATTTAAGATAGATCAAAAGGACGTATGACCACTTCCCCTCAATAGATCATTTCCGCACCATCCACATCATCCAACGAGAATGGGATGACGTCCTTGAAAAGCGGTGTGAAGGTCATGCCTCGAAGGGCTGACATGTCCTTCAAGTCGATATGGTTCACTGGGTATGACCGAGAACAAAACAAAACTAACATCCAACAAAAACGTATTCTCAGAATCTCACAATCCCCCCTAATCACTGGGACCAAGAAAAGCACAGCAAAGCAACCAGTCCAAATCCCTTTGAACAAACAGAGTCCCTCACTCCCCAACAGCCGCCGAATTGAAGTCAAATAGCCACCCTCCACAACTTGGCCGTCCAGCCGGTTTATGCCGCATTCGTGGCTTAGTAGGCAATCCTTTCTAAAGTTCAATACCAAAAGGATGACGGGCCTAGGATGGTCGGGACGTAGACGTGGAGTGGAGAAATTACATCCTTTCGGGCCCAGCCTTCAAAGCCTTCTGTGACAAACCACCACTATCCCCAACAAATCTGAGTAGGATCAGTAGGTAGGAGGCCATTTCTAATAGTTTGTGTTAGCAGCTTGGAGGCCATTCCTTGTAGCTTGGAGGCCATCGCTGGCCGCTAGCCCTTTTCCATGTACCCTCTGCTTAAGGGCGCGGCACCTTGCTATGCCGAATTCTATCTAATTAAGGTTAAAAGTAATCTGGTCCCATTTTTGCCTCCAAGATGGTGGACCCATTCGCATCCCATGGGACCAGCTTCCAGCAAAAAGAGAAGCGCAGAGCTTGCAGAAGTCAAGAGGGTACTCCTTCAAGCTCGTCGTGTGCCAACCATCAGCTCCCAATATATTTGAAGCGGAAGGGCATGGCCTTACTATAAGGCTTCAGCATCTGTCACGCCAACGCCGGACAAAAGCAGAGTTGTAGGCTTTGCCGACTTAGCTCCAAAGTGCACCTGATTCGGATGGATCTGCTGAATGCACCCTGGAGCACTGCAGCGAGCCAGCTATGGCTGCTTCAGCGTGCTTGCAAGCAACATAACTTTGCCGCATGAAAATTGTCCCGAAGACAACCGATTTGAGCCCAAACAAAACAGTCGCTGCCTCCAGGGCAGGAGCGGCAACTGTAGCCGCTGGCCTTGAGTTGAAGATGGTAGCAGGATGAGCTGCCGGTGATGTCGGCTTCCCTAAAAAACCGTCCCTACCACGAAGCCATGCAGCCGTTGCACAACTTTGAGGCTTGGACAAGGACACAGCAACAGCAAAATCGCCACGAAAGTTCTTTTGATGCTGTCGAATGCGCTCCAATGGCATCATTGAACTTCGGCTCGACCTTGTGCGAGGCGTGGACGCCACAAACAAAAAATACAAGCAAACCACAGTCACACCTCCTCAGATTGCCTTCCAGCTCTTATTATGAGTTTCTGCAAATTGCTGGATGTAGCTCTCATGCTCTTTCAGTTCCTTAGGCATAAAGCCTAGACCAAACACCAGCCTTGAAAATCCACTGAAATCATGGCCTCAAAATCCTCAAATCCTTGACGCCTCGTGACTTGAGACGAAGTGGAACTCATTAGGCCCATTGTAGGCCCTGCCAAAAGAAATCAGAAAGACAGTAACATGGCATTAAAAAATACGCTCGCATCCGAATCCCATCGTTGACTTCATGTTGACGCCCTGGCGGATCAGTACCTGGGGTTGTATGAGTACCTGTGGAGGCGGCCCCAAGTGTCTCTTGCATGGTCGGAGAAAAGGCCATTAGGGCCGAGGTGGGGACGGAGCGGGAGGGATGGAGGCCATATACCTCATATAGCCTCGGCCCTCAAGGAATACTCGTCGCCCTGCCCGGCGATGGCGTAGAAGGGCACGTCGCACCCACAGGCCAAATCTATTCCCAGTCGGTCCAAATTCGCGTTTAACTTGTCCTTTGTAAAGTGCAGGTTAAACTTGTCCTTTAGAATATTGAGGATTTGGGGCACCGTGCCCACATGTCTATCTTTCTTGCGGCCACTTGGCGCTCCAGGAAGGATGCTGGCTCGAGTGGATTTGGGTAAGGTCCTTTGACGTTAAAACATGGAAATGAACCCAACTTCTACATAACTCAAATTAATGTTTGAAATTTCAATGATTAGCCATGTATGGGGCCGCTGACAGGTCATTCGCGTCCATTACTCAGAATTTGCAACATGCGCCAAACAATTTGGCTGAACGTCTAAAGTTTCAACTATATGGGATCCACGCTCTTAGGTCACCATGCATAAATGGAAACGAACTTGGAGCCAGGAGCTCAACTTGCACGGTTCGATTGAAGGATTAGTGTTATATTGGAACCATGCGCTTCGAGGCCAGCTGGACTCTTCCAGCGAAGCCTCAAGGTCCGATACAACGGACATCTCTGGCACACGTCCCCATGGCAACGGGGTCCACAGAATAGATGTTCGTCGCGGTGGTTCGGCCCGGTTCGGCCCGGGAAGCTTTATATTTTTTTGTTGTTTGTTGTTGACGTTCAAGCTATTGGAGGTCTGTGACCGCTAGCTAAGGCCCCTTCACCAAACCCCCCAAAAAAGAATTGGTTCTTCGCCACGTCGCCCTGCCCGGTCCAAACTCGTCCCACGGACAACGCGCCGCCACGGCACGGTCAACTCGCCCAGCTTTGAGTCCCGGCGCTGCCTCACCTGGCACGACCGAGTCGGGAGGCTCTCAGTGAGCCCACGGGAGGAGTGGAACGAGACAGCTGGGTGCTTTCCGGGCAGAGGTCGAGGGTCGAACATGGTCGAACTCCTTCTTCCAAAGACTGAGGTAGCCTCAGGGCTCAGGGTTCCCACATGTTCCCACAAAGCTAGATGTCTCTGCCGTAGGTCTATGAACTCCTTCTTCCAAAAGGGGGCAGCATGGGGCAGCAAGTCCCAAGTTGCAAGTCCTCACATCGATTCTTCACGAAGTGAAGTCGCTGAAGTCATTGCTGAGCGAGATTGGATTCGGTCGACTCTCCATCTGGATGGGGTGTTTGTCTATTCTTTCTCTTTTAGGGGGTCAGCCAGGAGGACGCCTGGGGTCAAGACTTCGAAAAAGGATGCAGTTGGACCTAGCCTTCCTCTGCGTGATCGAGTGGTTGGGGTGTCAGGTCCATCAAAGTTACAATCCCATCGTTTCAAGATGTTTCAAGAGATTAAGAATGATTGAAAACATCTTCCAACATACTGGCAATGTCAGGGTGACTATACAGTCTTGTCGTGTCTTTGGATGGTGTGGCGAATCTGGTTCTTGTAGATGCCCTTCTTCATTGTTGGACATGATATTTGCAAAGGTGCTCAACGCTTGCTGGCTGGTCGTTCACCGCAATGAATTATCGTTATGCGTCTTAACATACTTGATTCTGGGGCCCTCTGTCGAACAAAGCTTCTTTTTTGTTGGCATGGCCTGACGTGCTCTACTGCCAGGCCTGACGTGCTAAAAGCCAGCGTCGTCACCCACTAGCATCACAGAAACTCTCTCTGATCAACTCTTCCCTCAGAGCCTGTCTGTGATTTGCCAGTGGGTCATGGTACTTGGGCATCCTGGTGGACCTCTTCTGAATATGAACAGATCCAATTTATACCACGGGGCCCTCAAAACCCTGAAAATCAAAGGTTTTCACATACAAAAATTCCCGGTTTTTGATGGTTTCTGGGGCCCCTGGTAAAGGGATGATATCAATCTCCCATCGTTTGCTGGGGGAGCTGCCATGACGAACCCCGCTCGGTCGTCGGAACGTGGTTCAGCCGGTACGTGCCGGTCGCCTGGTTCAAGAGCTTCTCTTTCAACGGCACCTGGGTCGTGTCAGTCAGTGGGATTCTACGGGTCATGTGGGTGAGCTCTGTGCGTGGTCATGTGGATTCCACGGTCGATCCAAAAACCTACAGGGGCGGCTACCGAGCCGCCAAGCCACATCATTCCATGTCACAGTCACACTGCGGCTCGGTCGGCCATCGATATATGAAGAAGGAGCCCCTGTGTTCCGTGACGGGGAAACACGATGACACCTGGTGAAAGTGTCTTCGAGAGACGAGTGGTGAACCATACTTCCTGATGCCGCTACCTGATAAAGCATGTGCAAAAAAAAACAAAACCCGCCGAATTTGACCCAGTCTCAACTCTGGCTCAACTCCTTTTTTGAACCCATGACTCAATGACTACAATTGAAGAATTGACTACCCTTATTAGGTATTCTGTATATACACCCTGGAAGACGATCCCATGGACCCTGGACACCACGTCGCTTGGTAGAGGAGCCTACACTCTTCCAGAAGGGCCAGGACAGACCCGGGTCGTTAGGGCTTTCGGCAGTATATCTGTTTTATGGTCCTCATTTGACTCAATCCCAGACACTCCATGTATGGAATATATGCCTACATTGACCCCCCAAACCACCCCAATGTAGGCATATATGCTATACATGGAGTCTTTGGGAATTGGACCGCTTCGTACTTGTTCGTTTCGTCTCGCTCGGCGTCTCCCCGGACACCGAGGCTCCGCTCCGACCGAGGCTCGACACCGCGGTCGTCCTGGCCGGTCGACCGGGTTTGCGGTGTGAGACGGTCGCATGTTTCTGAAGAAGCGCTGGGAAGGATGCGACCAGGTCGTACCAAGTTGTTGTTTTACTAGCTTCTCGTCACAAATCAACAACTTGGACGACTGAACCCTCGGACATGTGAGGGAGATGAATGAAAGGTGGTCTGTTCGCAGAAATCAATCTGCCAACGCACCATGGAAAGGGTTTTCTGAAATCCGTTGGTTTTGTTTTGTCTCTCGCAGTGTCTTTGGAGCTGTGTATCATTGGGGATGTCTTAGGGCTCGGTAGCCGTTTGCCAAATGCCTCCGCGTGAGTGGAGAAAGTAAAACGTAACGTAACATGTGCCTGTGTGTGTGCGTGTCAAAACCCCAAAAAAACTGGTTGACCCTGCAAACATGTTTCATAGTTATAAGGGATGTCAACCTTCAACGCTTTGGTAGGGAGTCTTTTTTTTCACAGGATCCTAGATGCTGGGATGCTAGGGAAGGGCTCCACATCAAGCAGAATCGCATGACGGTTCACATCGATGTGCGCGACTCCACTTCACCCGTTGCGTCCTGCGTCCAGCTTTGTATACCTGGTAACAAATCATGTATATAACTTATATACAATTTTCTGCGATCTGATTTTGACCCTACCAAAGAAGGCAACAACATAGGCTTGATTGCTGCACCTTCCATGCCAAACAAAATCTTGTTCCGTCCCTTCCAAGATTGCCACATCATTGTTCAAGTTCACTGCCCTAGTGTGCCACAAATTTGAACGTTCACAATCAATGTTTGCATGTTATTATTCCGATTGAAATGCCAATCACCACCCAAACAACTCACGTTTTGTCCAGCAAGTGGGATGAGCTAGTAAAGTAGGTCGCTGTCCCCCATACCACACTTGGGTGATTCTGGAGCGGAACGCGGCACTGAGAGGTCCCCTAGGAAAACCCGAGTGAAGACGCCACAAGATACCACAAACACCACAGACATGAAACAAAGGACCTGTGGGACACCGATCCGATGTGTAGCCGTAGATCCTGCAAAGTATTTTTTTGGCACCATGTTCAACGGTACCTGCTACTTTGAAGTCATTGTGTGTCAATGAGTCAAGTAGGTTTCATGTAGACTACCACACCAGCGGTTGTGACACCTCTTTCGTGTTCGAGGGACATCGCGCAGTTCTTGCGCCCACCTGTGTTGAGCTCTGCATTTGCTCTGTCCTCGGTTGGGACCAAGCACCGACGAAGCACGGAGGCATGGAAAAAAACATCTAGCAACTGCTGAACACATTGCGTGACAAAGTTCATCTTAATCACTACACCTAAAACATACCCAGACGCTCCATGGGACAGCCATATATGATCATATATGCCGATCAGTTGACCCCCCCACACCACCCCAATTGATCGGCGAATATGGCAGTCCCAGGAGTGTTTGGGATAGATTGCACATGTCGGATTCCTCGGTGGAGTTGATCAGCTTCCACAACGAAAGTGAGATTCCAAAGTGGCGAAGCAGGACAACCGGTTCGATGAAAGTGCCAGTTGGCTGTGGGAATTGAACACCAACAAATGTTAAGTGACCTGAACTAGGACCCTACTGGGGTACTTATAGAATATAGTTTATAGGGTTCTTCAACCTCTCTTGATTAACAACTTCCCTACGAACAAACGAGAGCGTGCAAACGTTCTTTGGAAGGCTTCTGAGCTTGAGCAATAGCATCACGTGGCATGGTTGGGAAGACTCAGAGCTGCAAGGTGTGTCGGATCAGTTCGATTAGGGCCTAATCCGCCGACCCCAGCCGACGGATGGGGGAGCGCGCCAGAGGACACTGGCCCAGAGTAGCGCTTTGGAACTGAGAGACGATCTGTAGAACTGAGAGAGAGATGAGGAGAACGGCTCATGGAAGAGGAGAAGAAGAGAATTTTTACTGGAGCTCCATCCTGCATCACATAGAACGGGAGAGCGAAAAAGATACCCTAAGAAAGCCAACGAAAAAGAGAAAGAGAGAGAGGGAGAGAGCGACGGCTCTCCCGACCGGGCGGTCGGGATGCCCGACGTCCCGGACCCCGTCGCCTCATGTCTTTTCCCTGTGTTGGGCCGGCGCCCGGCTGTCAGGTGTAAGCCTTTAAATCCGGGCGCCGGCCCCAGGGCCAGCCTGTGTGTCGCCCGGAGGGCCTTCGGTTGTACCCACGTAATTTACAGTGTTTTGTTTGTGAGGTACAAAAAACACGGTGTTTTACAGGGTTTTGTGCGTGGAAAATGCGACGCGGCGACGTTGGAGAAATGCAAAAACCATGTGTTTTTCCAAGGGTGGTGTCGGTAATGCGCACCGCGCGGAGAGGCATAATCCGCATTTTGTGGGTGCTGGGCGCGCGCCAACATCAATGGCGGCAAATGTGCTCCAAGATGACCTGACAGAGGCCGTCAAGATGACCCAACATAGGTCCCAGATATGCCCAACATAGCCGCAAATGGGCCAACGTAGCCTCAAGATGCGCCAACATAGGCCCAAGACGGCATCAACCACAAGAGAAAAAGCACGGACTGGACATGTCCGAAAACTATGTGCTTTTTCGGGGTTGCGGAAAGAAATGTCTGGAGTAGACATCATGTGCTTTACAGAGTTTTCGGGGTTGCAGACAGAGGCGTCTAGATTGAACCTGTGCGAAAACCATGTGTTGTACAGTGTCTGCAGGGCTGCGACTGGATAGAACGTGTGCGAAAGCCATGTGTTTTACGGTGTTTTCGGGGTTGCGGCGAGAAGTGTCCGGGCTAGACATGTCGGAGAACCAGCCTCTTGCGGTTGAGGTCCAGGTGTGCACACAACCCCAAACACACAACTACAAACACAACTACAAAGACACAACCACAAGCACACAACCACAAACACAACCAGAAACACACGATCACAAACACACAATCACAAACACACGACCACAAACGCACAACCACAAACACACAACCACAAACACAACTACAAAGACACAATCACAAACACAATCACAAACACGCAACTACAAACACAATCACAAACACACAACTACAAACACAACTACAAAGACTCAATCACAAACACACAACCGCAAACATACACACAACACACAACCACAAACACACACAAACACTCAACCACAAACACACAACCACAAACACAACCACAAACACATCCACAAACACAACCACAAACACACAACCACAACCACAAGCACAAACACACAATCACAAAGACACAACCACAACCACAACCACAACTACAAACACATAATCACAAAGACACAACCACAACCACAACTACAAACACATAATCACAACCACAACCACTACCACAAACACATCCACAAACACACAACCACAAACACAACTACAAACACACAATCACAAAGACACAACCACAACCACAACTACAAACACACAATCACAAAGACAGAACCGCAACCACAACCACAACTACAAACACACAATCACAACCACTACCACAACCACAAACACACAACCACAAACACAACCACAACCACAACAACAACACAGCACACAACCCGAGGACCCACAAGCAACATCGAGAACTACAATACTAACGACTATGGCAACATGCTCCTCACTATGGCATCAAGACAAATGATTGAAATGTCATGGTGGGGATCACTCGAAGTAAAGTAATTTTGGTTTCATGTTTTTTGATGTTCTTGTGTCGTTTTTCACTGTTTTCATGTCACAACAGCAACAACACTAACACGACCCTAACCCACAACGTCCACCACAACCACAACACCAACCCGCATCACCCTTCTGTTTCTTTCCCTTCCCCCTCCCCTTAAATCTGGCCAGGGCTGGCCGTGGCATCCCGCAGGGTTCTCTCCTCTCCGAGGGAGAGAGCGGCTCCGCCCCCTGCCGCCGACCCCAGGCCGACCCAGGGGGTTCGACCTCCGCCCCCTGTGCTTTACAGGGTTTTGTGGGGTGGTATCAAAAATTTTCGTGGTGGGAAAGTGGTCACGAAATGCAAAAACCGTAGGTTTTCCAACGGTGGTGTCGGTAACGCGCGCCGCGCCGACATGCATAATCGACATTTTTTGGGTGATGGGCCCGTGTCAACATAAATTGCGCAAAATGTGCCCGAAGATGATCCAACAGAGGTCCCCAAGATGACCCACAATAATCAGTGTCGCCAAGGCACGGGTCGATTTCTGCATCTTTGCCACAAGCGTTCCTTCATGCTCTCCCAGGACAGACGGTGAAGGTCCTTGAGGAGGCCCCATAGTGGTGACAGGAAGTTTCGAGTGAACAGAATTTCCTCAATTATCTGAGATGCATTGCCCGTCGCAAGATGATGGAAGGCCGTGAAGAACCCCTCTTCGACTAGTGCGGTGTTTGAGAAGTCCTTCAAGTCGAGAACTATGTACCAAAAAAAAGTCAGTGCGTCTGTCTCAAACACTGACTGCAAGGCTAAACGAGCTTTTCTTGAGATGCCTGCCAGGGACTCCCCAAATGTGCTGAGTTCGTCAGCACCTGCCCACGATTTAAAGGTGTCATCCACTCTCCTTGTGAGATTGGCAAGAAAGACAGAAGTGATGTAGAATATCCTAAACAAGTATGTCTTCAATCTTTCACCTGTCTTCGGTGTGCAGATGGCCGTAAACTGAAAAACTCCATTCCTCTGAAGGAATGTCGTGTACAGACTCCAAATGGAGGAGTAGAGAGCACCAAAGGCTCTGCGCGTCCAACATCGTTCCTCATGAAATGATCTATTGTGTGTGTTCACCAGATCTGCTTCTCTTGTTTTCGCTGGTACTGGCGTAGACTGATCAACATGCTGTGACAAACTGTTCAGAGTTTCTCTCATGACACCTGCGGCGCGCCTTGCCATTGCATGTGTGTCTACTTCTCCAACAAGAAGTGCATCCTTGTCCATGACAAATGCTCTATTCGCAAGAGTTTGAAATCTGCCCAGTCTCATTTCAGGCCTGATTGTTGCCGATGAGGTCGGGTTCGGAGAGAGAACAGGGCCGAAAAGGAGTTCCAGTTACGTAGGCCCAAGATGGGCTCAACATAGGCCCAAGAGGCCAACGTCGACGACGACGACGACGACGACGACAACGACAAGAATCATCAACAACAACAACAACAACGACAACCAGTGGTGGGCCCCTGGCCGTCTGTCGGGCGTCAGCCTTTAAATTAGTAGAGTTTTAATTAAATGGGCACAACATGTTAAGCTATTTTAAACATAGCATCCAGTTACTAGTTCTGGAAAACAGAACAGTTTAATTCGCACCTACTTTTGAATTCATCCCGTTGCCAAAGCAACAAAACAACTTTAAACCATTTGGGCATTTGGGAGCACGGGAGCACTTGTGCACAACTTGTTTGTCCAGTCCAGTAGAATTCTGGACATACACAGATGAAGCTTTTTGGTGGGACTGTCTCCCACACCACAGTGCAGAAAGGAGGCACCAATCCTACAGTACAGTGTAAGTAGCAATACATTGAACAAGTTCTTGGCTTGGGGCAGAATCAAGTCCCTCAGCTGTCCAGAAGTTGAAACAGGTCGTCGACTTTGCAACAATGGTTGTGCAAAATGTGAATGCACACATCACAGCTTGCACATGATGTTACTGACAAACAAAAAAAACATCAAACAATAGACAATAGATGCTACTTAAGCGGACCAAGGTCCATATTTGGATCTTTCAGAAACATGTGTCACCATGTAATAGAAGCTGCAAGCCCCATGCCAGCTCATTTGTCCCCCTGAGGTACAAACAAACCTCCATGCAGGTCAAGAGAAACAAATACCAACATTAAACCAACAAAACTCGCCCAGTTATGATACACAACACCTCTACTAAACCCAGCAAATCCTTGCTCCCTGAAAAAAATCCTCGGCCGAACACCCTGCCGCAGTTTCACCGAAATCCCTGCGCCGGTATCATGCTGTCTCGGTGTGGCGCATGTGATCATGCCAAGCGACAGCCGGTCATGCATGCCTCCTGACACTGCTGGAAAAATCTGATGAGTGATGGTCGAAACGACCAAACACCTCACCCAACCTGGTTGCTTCAATGGGGGAATATGAAGAATTGCCTTTCTCCGATGAAGATTCCTGCTGAATCATTGAATCATGCTCTTCATATTCAGAGGTCTTGGTAGTAGCTCAGCAGTGAGTCAAAAACATACGTCGCCTCCTGTGACGATCTGTTGGCAGTTAAAAGAAACAACACAAAACAAACAAGAACGTTTCAAAGTGGCCATGTTTCGGGATTTGAGAAACACACATTCGCAATTTGCGTTGATACCTTGAACAGGACGACATTCCATTGAACAGTCTAGAATCTAGAATACTGCAAACATATGCAAACTATGCTGTAATGGTATGGGCTGTTTTTTTGTGTGAAAACAGCAAAACCCACTTGTGACGGCCAAGGAACTGGGCCCATTCAATTGAGTTTGGATTCAGCACGTCTTCCCCCTTTTGAAACATCCACTGCATCCGTGGACGTTTGGCTCCCCCACTAAGGGAAAACCCGCGGCCACCGGGCCGTGCTTTTTGAGGAACCCGTGGAATGCGCAGATCTCTCTAGATGAAAAGGTGTAATGCCCAACTCAACCATGTTCAACTAAGATCAACTAAGATTTTACATGATTTTACCAGTCATCGGTCATCTACCCAAAACAAGAAAGACAGCTACTTGGGCATACAATCTATCAAAAACTAGCTATATACCCCTCATCTAGCTGAAGAAGGACCATTGAAGAAGGTGAAGTACTTCAAAACCCCGACCATTCCAACAAAGCAACGTAGATGTTTGATTGGATTTCATCCCCCCGACTGTCCATGGATTGTAAAACCTCTGAAGAGGCCTGGGGATTGAAAACGGTTGAAATAGAATCCAGAGTCTCATACTAGTGCTGTATTCTCAGGCGATGCACGTCCGAATTCTTCAACAAAACATTTATCATGTTGGTCCCACCACAATGGACCAAACACCTCATTAATCATGCTGCTCCAAAGCAAATATCTGGTTGTTCCCAATATAGTCCATCCAGAGGGGTCTTCGGTATTGATTTGTTTAAAGCCGAACCCAATTTTCAGTGAAGATGGTGGGCAGCTCCCGAGCACCTCTGGACTACAATGACCAGATGCTGCACTTCTTCTTCAGGCTCCGAAGTCGGTTGAAACAGCACATTTTCATGGCCTATCCCATCTGTAGGGCAACACGATATTTTTGGGGCTCTTGGCTCTTGATGTACCACCTCTTTGGGTTTCGGTCCCATGTCGACAAAACCCTCTCCACCGACACCCACATCGACCAACGCCTGCACATCGACCGAGTCGGAGTGAAAAGAGGCCCAAGTGGCGTGGACCCCAGAGAAGGGTTGTGATGTCTTGCTTCATCTGTTGGTGCTTTTGGTTCTCCTTTTTCTTCCTTCTTTTTTCTTCTACATTATGTTTCTGCCGAACCCAAATCTGTTCGTCCTCTTAGGCATCACAAACATGTGGGATTTCGGCCCGGGCGCTGCAGCCGCCGGGCTCACTATCTATGCCCCATCTTAGTTGAAGGCTCACTATCAAAGACACTAGAAACTTTTTCACAGGTCCAATGCATTCAAGCATTGCATCAGCTTGCAGACTTCAGATTCACTGTTCAACTAGGCCAGTCACAAGGCCTCATGACCCCAACTCACAATTAATTAGTAATTAGTAGTAACACGAATGATTGCCTTTATGTAAATTTGGATGTCTGTGGGCTTTGTGTCAGTCTTGATGGGGCAGTTGTTTGCTTCAACGAAACGATCCCACAAAAAGCCTCTCTCTCAGCTATCAATGGAACCGCACATACGTTCTTCTTGCGATTGACTCCTGGTCTTTTTCTTCTTTGCTCTGCTCGAGCCTTCAAAAACGGGCGTCGTCGAAAAAGCGGACTCTCGGCCCCTGGCACCTGTGGTGGCGCTTCAAAAGCCACTCTGAGAGACTCCGACCACGGAGAGCAAGTGAAAACGAGTCCCAGCCTCACCGTCCCTCCCTGGTTCCAATAGTCAGTCCCACGAGTCCACGAAGTTTGCTTTCGTAAAACCGGTGGGGTTGATTTATATTGACACTCCATGTATGCCATATATACCTACATTGACCCCCCAAACCACCCCAATTGGTCGGCAAATATGGCATACATGGAGTGTGTGGGTTTGATTCTTGGAGGACATATATATTCTGTTCGCTATGGAAATTCGGAATCAAGCAACAGTACTTCAAAGACATTCTCTGACTCACGTGAACGTCCTCCGCTTCAGGGACCCGTTGTGTACTTTGCGACCGAACACCAGGAAGACGCGAGCAATTCTGAAGCATCGTCTTCCTATGGATGCTCAAGACTCATGTGTGGTTCTTATTTGGTTTTCAAGTGCTTCAGCCTTGACGCAACCAAATCCCGAAGTTTCCCATGATGTTGAAGGAAAGGAAGCTCAGCCACGCCCCTAGCTTGGGGCCTGGGGATCCAGCACCATTCTAGCCACAAGAAAACATGAAACACCTTTGAAAGCACTCATCCAGATTGCCCCACTTTGTCCTCTTCAACTTCGTACCGATCCAAGCTTGAACTTGAGGGCTTTCAGCTCCGAAAGGGAGACACGTGTTCCGCAAGCAAAACGGTATTGGCTCATGGATCCGTGTCAACTCCTGGTCAACATCCCAACCATGAACAAACTAGTGAGCAAAGGCTCTATGTTTATGATATTGTGTTTCTTCTATTTGTGGTTGGTTTTGTTTTGCCTCATATATCTCATATCTACTGGTGATGAATAGTTGTATGAACAATTGCCAAGAGTTCCGAGGGTGTTGCGAAAAAGCCAAACGCATGCATACTCAGGCTGGCCAACTAACAAGGATGTGGAAATTCATCCCTAGGAAAACTACATTGCTGTACAAACATGGTAGATGTACACTTCCATATTCTGGCAAGTCACAATGCTTCATCTCAAAATGAATATTTGGACATGTTAATCCTAGAAGTGGTCACGACAAAAGGGTGTGAACTGCCTGCTGCAACCGTAGATCACTCAGATCACTACATTTCTAGTGGTCTTGGCCCTTTGTTGCTCAAGTATTGGCAGGATCTTTCCAACGTTAGCAGTTCAATTTGAAGGGTGCACACATCGTTTTCACCTTCTTATCAAACTTTGGTACAAGTACTACAAAAATCATTTTGAACAATCAACTAATTACATCTGCGGTGGGACATACAGCACTTGGGGCAGCATCGCCTCACTCACAAATGCACAAACCTTCCGCACCTTTTTTTCCGCTGCATCGGTCGGCCCTGTCGGCCACCTGCTCCTCCGGTCGACAGGGTCACCGCCATGCTGCGGTCAGTCGCATGGCACGCCTGGATGGGAGCGCGTTGCCGTGGCGCGGAAGTGAAATCAAGTAAGCCACCAAAAGCAACAAACCAAAGCGGTTTCGATTTCGGAGAGGAGATATATAATGTTCACATCACAATACTAAACTACTGTCAAAAAACAATTCTTCAGTACGCAAAAAACAGAACGATACAACTATGTCTATGTACACAATTTTGCAACAGCAAAATGTGAACTTCACAGTGTCAACTATAAACTATATACTGTCACAACTATAAACTATATACTGTCAATACAATAATACACTCTTCTACAATATTAAACTAACCTACTTTAAACCTCTGTAAAAGGTCGTTTCCTATTGTTAAACAAGTTTAAACTAATGTATTACATTGTCTCAGCTAAATCAAAACTTGAACCTGGCTTGAAACAATCCAATTCTTTACAACATCCTGATGAAAAAATGTTCGCACAAAGGGCACCCCTTACGAAGACCTAGAATCTAAACCAAAAAGCTTTTAAACCACCTTCAATGAAAAATGTTCCTACCCAACGTTTTATGTTAATTATCAACTGAAAAACTTAGCTGGCTCCTCTACAAAAATAGACCTGCTTTTGAGCTCATGTCGCGCAATTCGTACGCTTGAAAAAAGAACTTGACTTACCCCTCTACAAAAGAACTACTTTCAACCAACAACTTTAAGCCTCTTCAGAACATAGGTTGTTTGTTTATAAATAGAAAATGGATTTATAGTTAGTTAGATGATAGTGCAAGTGCATTACGTTGTCTCAGCCCAATCAAAAACAGACCCGGCTCGAAAACAATCAAACTCTTCGCGGATCTTTCACGAAATTTCACTGGCGCTTTCCCCGGGAAGCCGTAACATTTGCAAACATCTGCACAGCCCGTCAGAGCAGCTGCACGTCGTTGCCTCACTGTCAGGGCTGCGCCTACTCAGGTTGCTATAGTCTGTGACAGTGGGGACAGGAATCGGAGAATTCTTTTACGCGCTGCCAGGGCTGGGCACGGAAGTGTTGAGGCTTCGGTTCGTTAGTCTGTGACATATATGGGGACGCTTCCGCCCACCGATTTCAAATTTTTGTCAGTCCGGTAGAAAGGAAAACATATGAACGCGATGACCTTCGATAAACCTTTCGCGGAAAAATACTTTCGCGAACCTCATCGCGAATCTTTCGCGGGTGGGTCTAACAACATCTGAAAGGCTGTTTTATATAAAACTCCTTACACACGGTTTTCGATCAACTCCCAAGTCTGCTGAGCTGAGATGAGTTCCAAGTCGGATGGATGTATTTTTGCGCAAAGAGTAGTTTGGCATTCGAGGTGCACTCTTGCTGGTCAACATGGAAGTGGATGGCATGGCCTGCGAGAATCTGGCTTCCTGCAATGTGGCGTGTTTTTTCCTCCACTCCCATGGTGGTGTGTTCTTTGGAGGTGATATTCCAAGCCCTTCACAGGGAGGTTGCGCACTCAAAGCATTACACACTAGGAAGAAAGAGAGTCCGCAACATGGAGGTGTGTATTGAAATATAGGGAGAACTCCCAAAACACCGCCTGGAAGAGAGGAGTTAGACCATAACCTTGGTTGGAGGATGTTGGAGGTCTGCCTTGTGAGTGGCCGCATAGCCCGTACCGCTCCTTGGGGTGACCTTTTCCTTGCCCTAACATTTTCCGCTACAAACTAATATTTTTGGGTTCCATGCCGACTTTTGCAAAGGAGTAACTAGTAACCTTTTCCACCTGTTCAGCCTGTTCATGTTAAGCGGGGCAACCTTGTCAATGCCGTTCTATTCTTTGACTCGCTCAAAACTTCGAGGATGTTTTGTTCTGCCACGCAAAACATTCAAGGAGACCAAAATTCTGGCAGACGGAGCGAGCCGAGCGAATGCGCTACACGCAGCGGAGACCGCAAGCCAAGAACTACAGCCAATCGACGCAGACAGCAAACAACAAAATCCAAACCCAAAGCCACACCGGAATCCGTCACAGAAGCATTGCCCCACACCGCCAAAATAAACTCTCAGACATTGAGCCTCCCGCCGACTGAGGGTAGTTGCCAAAAAGAAACCCCGCGCATGATTCAATGAGTCACCCATCAAGACCCCCCAGCCCCAAGCCTCAGCCGTGCCAACCGACGTTGGGCTAATTGGGTGGATGTAGGCGTGATGATCTCGTCGCCAAATCTCGCGAGTGTGTCAACTGGCCTGCGTGCCAGATTCAAAGTACATAGGAACAATCTGAAATGAACCCGCTATAGGACAAGGCCTCGGAATACCAAGTCGGGAACAACCTGCTCTACCAACATTTCGGCATAGTCACAGCAGCTGTGGGTCAGGAGGTGGTACCATGTCAAGTCCCTGGCAAGGGACCTTGCCATTCGATCAACTTCGTCCGGGCTTTACACCAACCAGCAGATCCCGCACGTAGCCCTGTGCTCGGTGGGAGATCCGACGTAGTCCTTGCCTCGATCTGGTTCTCTAACTTGCACCGGCACACCTCAATCACCTCGAAATCATCAGAATCCTCTGCTCTACTTTGCCCAGCAGCTGCAGTGAATCTCTGACAACGAATTGGGCACCATGTCAAGTCTTGGATTCCACAAATACGCCTCCACTTCAAGAGGCATTCGGTGTGGAAGACATGGCCACAAGGCTGTGCTGTATTCAAAGATGAGTTCTGCGTAGAGTCTTTGCAAATCATGCGCTCAAGGACATCAGCCTGAGCACTCCTGACATCCTGCTGCGGCTCAATCTCATCCTGCAAAGCCGCAACCGACATTGCTGGATGGCTGGTCCTGGACAGCCTGCACAGCCTCAGGCTCGGCTGCCCACATGCCAGGCTGTCCAGGAGCACTCTTTGACACTGCCGTGGCTAGTAGAGCATCTAGCGACCTCCTTGGAGTTGCCGGAGTTGGAAGAGCTGCCGCCTTTGGGCTGGAGTTGGAGGTGGTCAGCAGCATTCCTGCCAGGTCGTCCTTCAGTCGAAGCCTCAATTCAATCGCTTCACGCATTGCACGTAGGCCTTCCAGAACCATTTTTTCGCCCTGCCGGAAGCTCTACAAATGTAACATCATCCAGGCAGTGCCACGGTCGGCTAGTGGCAACTTGCCCAAAAACTGCAAGAAGGATTGAATTTCTGGGCGTGAAAGCAGGACTTGAAGTCGATCGGACTTGTCTCTTGCAACCTGGAAACGCCGTCAAGCAAAATGCCGCACTATTGGCCCCAAGGCCATACAGTAGATAAAGTTGTCTGATGTACTGCTGCAACATTAAAAAAGCCAACTGGACCAAAGGCACCTGAAATACTCCGTTGCCACGACACAGTTGTTGCGGGCACTCAACACAGTCAGCAATCCGCCCTGTGTCGCAATTTATGACGGGAGAACTGCTTGGCTCAAATCAAGTCAACAAAATGTTTTAAAATGTTTAAAGTACCTATATAAGCAACTAGAAGCATACTGTAGATGTACTTGACCCAATGTATCAAAACCCATTTTGACACTTAGAGTAACTGCAGCGTCCTCATCATGCTCCCAGTGCCCTCTCCATGCCTTCGCCGCGTGCCATGCCGCGCACCAATTGGACGACGTGATTCAGCTCGGTCTTGAGGCGTGGAGGCCGTGGTCAGTCTTCCGCCTCCTGCGCTCACGCCCCGGGTGCGTGGAACAATGAGCTGCACTATGCCCATGCTCAAAGGTTCCACTCCCTTGCGACTCAAAGCAAAAACATTGAAATTATATATACCTGCATCTTCATTGGAGAAAATGCACCTTTGATTTTGGAGGAGATTTCCGTGTACTGAAAAGAAACCTGTGCACTTGAAAACAAAATTATACAATTCTGTGGGTATGGTCACACAAGAAGGCCCTGCTTGTCACTTGCGCCGGAGCCTGCGCTTCCAGCTGAACTTCCGAATCTCCTATTTCAGTTTGATACGGAGCCAGCCTAGCACTCTGTGGCTTGCAGTTCTTGAGCCCACTCCCTGCTAACATGTCCCACCACCGATTCATCAGCTTCGTAACTGTAGGCTAGTGGACGGGGAAAGATGTGTGTTGGATGGAAAAGACGTGTATAGGACGGGAAAAGACGTGTATTCGGGTAAAGACGTTTTCTGCCCAGGCTCTCGGAACTAACCTCACCGGCTCGTAGGAAGTGATCCACGAGGCCGTCAAGGTAATCCAGCATGTCCATTTGCTGCTGGCTCATCGGAAAGCCCTTGCGAGCACTCTCAGGCGGAAAGGAAGTCTGTCCCAGCGTGAGCCAGTTAAGAGCTACCACCAGATGCTGCAAGGCTTCCTCCTGCGCTTCGGTGAAAGCTTCTCGAGCGGTGTCCAACACCCCCAGCACGGGGGGGGACAGGGCCACCCAGTTGGCAAGAAACTCTGATCAATTTCTTCCAAATCCTTGCCATCACGCGCGCGCACCTGCTGTCAACAACAACAACAACAACAACAACAACCACAACGACAACAACAACAACAACAACGCCAACAATAATAACAACAATAACAACCGCAACCACAATCACAAACCCATTTTGCCACCCAGGACAAGCAGGCATGGCTTCTGCACGGTCACGCCTCAGCCTATCCCAAAAAATCCAGGGGCCACTGGTATGACCCACAGAGCGCAACCATTCTCCGGGCCCAGCCCAAGCAACTTGTGTGGCAAGAGATGGCAGCCTTGCTAAACAGTAGAGATTCTGCATTTTCAAAATCCCTATATCTAACCATATATATATACACTTGTTTGGTGAGCAGTCCAAGCCCACAACTCTTTCACCACTGTTCCAAAAACGATGGGCGCAACTTCTGCGCGCAAATGGCAACACTCATTTGGACTCACTCGCCTCCGCTTCCATCTTCTCTTTCTTGGGCAGTGTGGCCTCCGTTTTCTTCTTCTCCTCCTTGGCGAGTGTCACCAACCTCCTCCTGGATCTGCTCGGCCTCGCGATCACTCCATGAAACCCCTTGAACCATCCAATGAGATCTACGCCGACAAACGCATGGAATTTCCATATGTGTTTTATCCCTATGGTCTTGGCTGCGAAAGTGCCCAAATGAACCCGGTGCTCCAAATCATTTTTCTCTCCCCCTCTTCCAACCCGACTCCCAAAGAACCTGCGGAAACACCACGATGTAGCTGGAGTCATACACCATGAGGCGTCCTTCACCTTCAGCCTGCCACAGCTGCGCATAGCGTTTCGGGCTGCTGACACACAACTCAGCGTCTAGCATTTGCGCCATCGCTCTGCATGTCTGCCCCCCACTTTCAACGAAGTTAATTAGCATAAACCCATCATCTCCGCTGCAACGCATTCTGAGTCTGCCCCGCTAAGGCCCCCCACATAGTTTCATATGACCCTGGGGAGCTAACGTGAATCCAACATCTCCTCATAAGCCCGTCCTGGTACTGTTGTCGGGGGCAGCTGATTGGCTGCGTGCCTCTGAAAGTGTCTGCAACGCGTGGGCCCAAGAATGAACGGCCTGGATCTGATGACCATTGAAGTTTATTCACAATATTGCCCACATCAGCGTTTGACACTTGGAAGCGCTTGACGGTTTTTGTGGCAGGCTCCTTTGGTCACATATCCTCGACGGGCAACAACAGATATGAAGTGTGAGCAACTGCAAAGGCAGGACTGCGTGACAATTCTTACACGCATACCAACGGCCGCAAGGAGAGCTTTTGAGCCCCCACGAAAAGTATACTTTTTACAGGGGCTCAAAATGGAAGCTTCAGCACACGCAAGTACAACGTAGCACGACAATGCACGCACAAATCAACGTATGCAAAGTAGAGATTTTGAGCCCCCCCGAAAAGTATACTTTTTACAGGGGCTCAAAATGCCAGCTTCAGCACACGCAAGTACAACATAGTACGACAACGTATGACAGTTCATGCACCAATCAACGAATGCAAAGTAAAGGTTTTGACCCCCCCCAAAAAAGTATACTTTTTACAGGGGCTCAAAATGCAAGCTTCAGCACACGCAAGTACAACATCGAATGACAGTTCATGCACCAATCAACGGATGCAAAGTAGAAATTTTGAGCCCCCACGATAAGTATACTTTTTGCAGGGGCTCAAAATGCAAGCTTCAGCACACGCAAGTACAACATACTACGACAATGCACGCACAAATCAACGGATGCAAAGTAAAGATTTTGAGCCCCCCCGAAAAGTATACTTTTTACAGGGGCTCAAAATGCAAGCGTCAGCACACGCAAGTACAACATAGTGCGACAACGTATGACAGTTCATGCACCAATCAACGGATGCAAGTAGAAATTTTGGGCCCCCACGAAAAGTATACTTTTGACAGGGGCTCAAAATGGAAGCGTCAGCACGCGCAAGTACAACATAGCACGACAAGCTTACCGGGGTACACCAATGAACTCCCCACATACGCTCAACATGTGACCCTGGGAGCCCCACAATAAACGCATATTTCGGGTCCATGCTTTCTTGGCGTAGCAGCCCTCAAGTTGACGTCCATGCTGAACACGTGTTGCTTTGTCAATGCCCACCCCATTTTCTAACAGCCATGATTCATGGACATGTCACAACAACATTGTGGACTGCGTCGCCATGCATACGGCACAAAATTTTATAAACAGTGTGTGAGACTGGTGACCCATCATTAACCATTGCGCTCCCCGTTATTATTCAATCATTGTGGCCTGCTTGTTCTTTACTTAAATTTTAAACCGAAACATCGAATTGTCTCCCTATCCGACTGTCATCCATCACGATCCATCACGCACACACACAGACACACACCGGCCTGCACCAATTGCCCGTTGAATACTAGAACGCGGGCGTCGACTGCCATCTCACTTGCTTCTTCCACATTCACTCCCACGATGATCAACTGCAAACAGTAGCCATTGCCATCGACCACAGACATCGACATCTTGGCATTGCCCCTCGTACTCATGGTCACCTCAGCCTTCTCCTGAATTTTGCCAACGATGTTGACCGTCCCCTCAACACCAATGAGGTCGTGAAAGTTGGCCTTGTAGTTGGCAAGAACCGGTTGAATCTGAGGATTCGCACGGTTGGGATCGCGAAGAACTTCGATTGTTGCAGCTGGCGTGGAGTGAAGCACCATCATCTGCAGGCCGGGCACCACCGGCGGCCTGGGGTTACAAAGTCTGAACCCGCTCAAACGGACCGCGAACGGTCCCTCCACTTCAAGAATCCGCACCAATCGCTTGGTTTCCTGCACCGCTAGCTCTCGCCACAACCTCACCCAAAACACCGAACGGTGTTCAGGTCAAACAAATAATTTTGCTCACACACACTTTGTGCCACGTTGCCATCACAGCCCCGAAACAAATTCAACCAACGGTGCACCATGCCATGCCACCTCTTCATGTTCATGATAATTTAAGAGCGCCCCCATCCGCAACCAAACAATCGGCCACCTTGTTGCTGCGAAGCTCGCTGCAATGCACGATGGTCACCTCCACAGCGCCACACAATGCCCCATTGGCACAGCCGTGCGCCTCGGACAGCGATGCCACCGTCACCGGCACCTCCGACGCCTGGCTCTGGCCAGACGTGCGCCGCTTCTTCAGAGCGATGGCCATGGCACTCCAATCAAGCCGTCTCCAGGAGTCTGCAGGTTTCAAAAGTTTGAGTCTAATGGCGGTAGCACAAGAACGGACTCCCAGCACGCACACCGAATCCAATTTTGGTAGAACAAATTTGTCATGCGGGGCTGTTCCTCAAAATAAAAGGACCGGATAACCCCACACGTCAAGCTTGTAAGAACTACGTATCAAAGAGAAGTAGAGACTGATAAGGGGTGTGGGGTGGGATTCTGCGAGCCCGCGCAGTCGAAATGCATTTGGAGGACTTCGAGAGCTGTAAATAGCAACGAATTAGCCGTTCACGCCCGCGCGCTTCAGCGATCTAAGCATCAGCTTCCTTTCCCCTACCGTAAGAACCCCTCAGTGTGCCCACACTGTTTGGGGAAAAACAGAAAACCTTGAGAAAACCAATAACAACCTAGGAAAAAAACAAAAACACAAAAAACTTGGGAAAAAGACAATTCTGGGGAAGTCTTGAGTCCAGCCAAGAGTCTCTGAGAATTGGTGTTTTTGTGTTTTTTGGTTTTCCCAAGGTTTTGTTGTTTGGTTTCTAAGTTTTTGTTTTTTACTGCAAATTATTCAGTGTTTTACTGGCATCTTCAGCATCTTGACTGTCGGCCGTCGTGGGCCGCACCGTGGTGCAAGCTAGCGGTGGCGGGATGAAGAACGAATGTGGACAGCGAGTCTCGCTGAGTGAGTCCCCTGGAAGTGTTCACGAGTGAGGTCGCGCATCTCCGTGCGTAAGTGTGTGGTCACCACCTGTAGCTGCAAAAAATCTGGAATGTGCTTCACATGTTGCGCCAAGCCTATAGCGGCTGCCAGCCTTGCTGCTGTTTTTGTGTCGTTTTGCTCGGAACATTTTTTCACATGTATTTACCATAAGCAGTGGACAACACCTAAGATCATGGCATATAAGCGACAGCCCAGTGACTGAAGCGCACTGTGGAGCGAAGCCACGCGCTTGTGGCCACAGCGTGTTCCGTTTGGACCTTTGTCTTCAGTGCAGCCAATCTCTTCCTCTTCACTGAGCAACATACAGCTCCTTTGTCGACAGCTCCGCGAACACACCGTTCAAGATCTCTTTCGGTCCCAGTTTCACCAAACTTCTTGCTGTTCGTTCCATTCCTCAGTCTTACCAACCTCGCCACGGAAAGGCTTGAGGCGGAGCCGACCAACCCCCCGCGCGGCGAGCCGGCGAGCGACTGGCCGCCATGGCAGGTAGTAGGTCCACCGTGGAGCTCCTGGTGGACGCTGACCAGCCCCGTCGACAATGCTGGCCAGGCTTCTTCACCAAATCAGCAATCGGAAAGCCGTTGCTGAGGCGAGCCATGATCACTCGTGCCGAATGGCCTATAAGGAGGCTCCAAGTGCGGCACAAGTGTGACAAAAGGAAACCCAAGTGCCATGGGCGCCACAAATAGACGAGGTGAGGCGGAGGCAGCAAGTCATGAGTGCATGAAAGCCAAGGCAGCAAGCAACCTATGTATTGACACATACACCAAAAGCCTGCGCAAGCCACAGTGAGCCACCAAGACCCTTGGTTCCTGCTTACAGGAACCTGACAAAGTCATCCCTCAGTCATCACTGTTTCAATGCCAAATCTCCATGGCAAAGCTGTTTCCAAAAAGTCATCCCCCAGTCACCCCCAGGAGCCAACCCCAATGGAACGCTAATACCCAAACAAGGGTTTGTCACCAAAAAAGCCGACCCAAAGAGTGCAAAGACCAGTGGAACGCTAGTTCCAAAAGAGTGTGGGTTTGATTGATTTACATCCGCTTCCTGCGTGTCAATTAATGGAACGCTGTAGAAATTCTGCCACCACATCAGATGACTCGACTTGAGGTGACGGAGGTGGACGAAAGGTAGAGGGTTGGAAGATTCTGAGCAGAAGCAAGCAGCCAGCAGCAGCAGCAGCAAAGCAAAAAGGTAGCAGCAGCAGCAGCCAACGAGCAACAGCAGCAGCAGCGGCGGCGGCGGCAGCAGTGGCAGCAACAGCAAAGCAGCAGCTGCAGCACAGCAACCGTGTTGCTTGCGAACTGTGCGAACTGCACTGGCAAGCCTGGAAATGACTGTGTTGCTTGCTGTACTTGTCTCGCATGTGTGTGGAAAATTCCTTGTGGACTGCTTGCAGGACCCACTACAGAATAAGAAATTCATTGCTTCAGCAGGCATCATTAAAACACCTTTCGATGAGAGCCCCAGCATACAACCTAAAAGTCGGTCCCTTTCCAACCAACAGAGTTCGCTTGTGTTTCAGAAAAAAGAGACGACTTTCCGCAGCGACTTCCCCCCAAGGCAGGGTAGCAATCACTCAAAAAAAGTGACGACATTGTCTTTTGCCTGTACAAACCAACAACAAGAAACAGCGCGATGTTGTCGCAAATTTGGTGGAATCAATTGGGCATGGCTGCGCCGCGGGCCTGCGCCTGCCTGCCTGCCTGCCTGCCTGCCTGCGTGAGAATACCCATCGGGACGTCTGGACCAATCTGTCGCCTTCCATCTAAAGGGAGGTGGTGTTGGCACATTGGCCTTTTGACCCGAATCCAGGTATCACCGAAGATTGAACCTGAAAGCTATTTTCTTCAGAAGAACACGGCCAAGTGAGGGGGGCTCCACGGAAAAAACAACTCTTCAGTTGACAGTCCCCTGTGCCAAGGATTTTGATCTGAAGGGGCTATCAAATATAGAATAACATATACCATATGCCAAATTTGAACCTGCAGGATTTGTTTGGCTTTCACCAGCTCCCAGCCAAATACACTGCTGATGGAGTAACTCCTCAACACCCTCCACATCCAACTGGAGGATCTCCACCTGTCGAGGCGATTTATGGGCGAGGGATCAGATGCGGATCTCGAGGGAGGGACCACCAGGAGGACACCAGGAGGGGACTGGTGCGTCACCTCCAGGGAGGGAGGGACCAAAAATAAGACACCAGGAGGAGCCACCATTCAACTCGAGTTGGGTCAACATTCGAGGGGTGATGGATGATGGTGCAAAGAACTCGACTTACAGACCTTTCCACTTCAAATGGCCACTCTCTTTGCCATGTTTGAAGGTCGTGAGTTGTCATAGCTCTTCTATTTTCTCAGATGGGCTGCTCCGAAGCACAAAACTGACACAAAACAAGTCAGCTGACACAACATGCAGTCCTTGGCACTATATGCAGTCTTCACTATTGCATGGACAAATCAAAGAGCCCACCAGTCTTCACCAGGCTGAAAGAGCCCAGCCCACCTCGAGAAGGATGTTTTGAGGTGTCTTACCTTGTAGAGGATGCATGGCGTGTGACCCATTCGAACTTAATATATGATATGCAGCAATGCACGATGTATGTTTTCCAATGTACCTTGATTCATCACTCACCCCAGATATGGATGATGAAACCTCTTCCAATCTATGGGGCTTAAACGTCTATCACCATCCCACTACTCCAAACAAAACAACAAAATCATCAGCAGTTGTGTGCGGCCGTGGGCTCGGAAAAAAATAAAACTAAAAAAACACCAAAAGCAGCATTGAACAACTGAGTCAGGACCTAGTGTGAATCCTGATTTCAAGAACAACTGGTTCCATTCCAAGCATCAGGGAGCTGTGTCTGTAATCCTTTATTATATAACGTGCTGTTTCCCAGTCAAAAAACATGTTTCTGTCCCTATCGAAATGATGAATCAAGATCTATCACCACACACACAGGACTGGCAATCAGCTGTCAGGATAGACACCGATGGAATGTGGATGTGTCTTTCTTCCTCGTAGGTCTGCTGGGAACTTGAATTACCATCTGATATAGTCCAGGTACCTACTGAGAATGCTTTGAGAGGTCAAAGTACTTGTAGAGAATAGTCTTGAGGGGTAAAGGACATTTTCAAGATGCTCCCGGATCCTAATCGGGCTCAATGCTGCCCCGTACAGTACGCGTGGTGCTAAGGAAACAGCCCATGTAGAAGTACTGCTCACTGACGACCCACCAAAGGCTCTAAACATGGCGTTTTGGGTTGACACACGCTCGTGCTTTTGAGGTTCGGAATCCAAGTGGCGCAGGGTACTCACTGTTTTTGGCTGTGGACGAACCGACCGGAGGAAACAAGGGATCCAATGCGTCAAGCGCCCACCAAGAAAGGTGATGGTAGTTACAGCATCTAAATGTCCTCCGGATGTTGATTCGATAGGAGAGCCCCAACATAGAATCAACACAAACTTGGACAAAATGATATCGATCCCTGACAAGGGCCGCATGCTTCCACCACGTGCTCCAACCAAAAAAAGTTCTCTATTGATGTCTTTTTTCCGGACACCCTAGTAGCGTCCGATCGCACCTATGACAACCTCCCTCTTGGGACCCGTGGGACCATCTCCACCGTGGGACCTCGCCTGGCCGTTGAGGAAGCTCCGCATCGAGGGCCTCGTCCTCCCCAGATCTCCGTGGACAAACTCCTGGCGTCGGCCGTGGGATGCCGTGGGTCTGAAAATAGGTGTCACGGATTGGCTTCTGGGTAACAGGAATTGATTGTGACACACGTGAAGTAAGTCGGAATATGATTACATGTGGTTGGAACTGAGTAGTTGGAGCCAAGCTGGACCAGTTAAAAAGGGTATAATCAACAGCAAGGAACTGAAGAAAGCTATATGAATAGAATCTGTATGATTCGAGGGCCCTCCACACACCAAAGTTTCTTTTCTCAATGTTTCAGGGCCTTGTTTGGCGCTGCAGAATCACTTACTTGGTGCAGTGCTATCCCAACAACTGCAGTACAGCAAGCCCGCGCAAGGACATTACATGGCGCTCCTGCGCGGGCACCGTTTGGAAGCAATCCCGATACAACGCTAAAAGTGCAGGTGCGAGGGCGGAGTTAACAACACCTCCGCTCTTCATCAAATACATGGCTTTTCCATCATGTAATACATCCCCACAAGTTAATAACTTTGTAAGTCACAAACGGGGTAGGCGCGGCCACTCCTGCAAATGGCACGGGAAAGCAGGGATGGGGCCACAACCAAAAAGGCGCGGCTGCTATATGGTATATACGGAAGATAATAGATATATACATATAATAACCACAACTTGCGCACAGCGGGCCAAGGCAAGTCAAAAACATTCAAAAACACACATGGGTCCAAAAGCAGGCGAGGAAAAAGCGAATGAGAGAGCAGCAGCACATGGAAAGACATGCAAATGGAGAGACAGCCCTTTCCTTTGAAAAAAATAGTTCACATTGAAACCAAATGCACCCAAATGGCGCCAGGAATTTGACAGGAAGCAAAACGGAAAGGTCACCCCAAAAATACATGGACACAGGAACGACCAGGAACGGCTCAGGTCACAATTCACCAGAGTATTTGGGCGCATGCCACTGGCATCAGGCTTTCGGACCTAGAAAGATTATAAACTAAAAACCAGGAACATCAGGAACGCCACTGGGTGCTTTCTCCAAGCGTTTTTGACGCTGCTTCGGCAAGCGGACGCCTTGACTGCAGATGCTGTTCATGCTTTTCTCCATGCCATTCAACCATGCTTTCACCTGCTGGTGAGTGGAGTCCGACCGGATGGTGCGCCAGGTCGGTCCTGTTCTGTCTGCTCCGGATGGCCGGTGGGCATGCAGCGATCCAGATGTGTGCATTGCGGAGCCGTTTGGTTGCCAGGCGGGCAAGGACAGCACTCTGACGTCTCTGACAAGGGCACATAGTAGGGTGGCCGTGAGGGTGTTGTTCCTGTTGTAGCCCGCCGATGTAGTGCGATGGGTCGTTTTTGCACCAAAAAGCTAGTGGAAGCTGTGACCCACCGGGCTGCTCGCATATAGCAGTTTTTCAGCCAGGCCACCCGGCTTGACCATCGAACGGAATAGACTACTTCAACATGGTCAACCGACCGCGCTTGACCATCTGAAAAACCTTCAGGGGAACTGGCAAAGCACCGGTTGGCCTAATTAGTTTCTCCTTCACTTTCCCACCCTTCCCACATTCCGTCTGCGGCACGTCTGCGGCACGGGTCCCTGACCTTCACCCGACCTTTCACCGATCTGAAAAGGGGCGTGAAAACGTGTCGAGACAGCACCGCTGCTGACAGGGATTGAACAGCTCTTTGTTGATGGGTACATGGATTACAAGAACTTTTTATGCTTTTTTTTGCCGGATTCGTTGATCACATGCTCAAACATGTTGACATATTGTTGGGTACCTTTTGTGTTGAGATGCCCCGACTCTCCGACTCCGGCGCAGTCCTTGATGTACATACCAGCCTGGCAAATACAGTTCATTGCTAGCAAACAGAGCCTGTCAAAGCGGGGAAGAATCCTTTAACAGACCTGAAAACACACTCCAAGTACATGATGCAACCCGACCGTGGGCATACAAGGTATTGGCTGCTGCACTTTTGGTTTCACTCCAAACGAAAACATCCCAACGACCTCTCCCTTGTTAGGAAGACCTCTCCCTCAAAGACCGATTGGCAGAACAAACACCGCCGGCCAACTCATCGGGGTCGCCCGACCGACTCCGCTGTCTCCGGTCTCCCATGGAATCCGACAAAGACGAGTAGCAATACTTCCAAGGAGATCCCAAGCTTCAACAAAACGAACACTATACAGTGTCAAGTGAATTCATATTATGTATTCATGTTCATTTTTTCTTGTCCAGGGATGGTCTCCAACTGTAGCTTGTGACACAACATGACACAACTACACACATGAAAAGAACAAGGCAAATAACAACTCACTTCATTGTGTCTAGAACTCTCGCAGTGTGGGGGTCGACTCATGCCGTTGCGCCCACCTGCGCGCACACCTTCAGCTTGAAGTAGTGCGGATTGATGACCTCCCAAAATGCGCGAGCGTCCAAGCGTGCGCCCACACACACGCACACGGGCGGCATGGCATAGCACGGAAGCGCGTAGCTCTTGCAACTGGGCCGGGCGCCAGGCGGCCATCAGATCTCCATCTCTTCCTTCCCCCAGCCGATCCAGTGGCGTCCCTTTCGCCCCTTTCGCCCGGTGGCTGCCGACCTCGAGGTTCAAGGAATAGACCGTTCGAGGTCTGGTGGCCAAAGCCTCGGGCGGCTCGGCGCTTGCCGGTACGTAGGTCCATGACTCCAATGGACATATCGCTTACAAAAAAAGAACGGGACAACGGACAACGTCTAAAATTTCATCAGAATGGAGGGGATTTATATAACCTCAATTAGGAAACTAACACAAATCACCTTAAGCTATACCTAAGCAAAACCAGGTCTCTGTGGGGCCTTTGACTCAAATGTGTGGTGAGGGCCTTCTTCAAGTGCTCTTCTTCAAGAGGCCAGGCCACCCTGATCCCATCCTCTGTCATTCTCCCGATGAGATCCATGACTTGCCACCTGCTGGATTTTGAGTGGAGTGTCCCAAACTCCCCCAAAAAGGTTGTGCAAATTCTCCACTGTTCGCGGGTAGGTTGAGCGCTCACACACGCTGTGATCCGTGTGATCCATCAGTAAGAAGAACCCAGTGCTGCGCTGCAAGACTGCAAGACGACTCGATTGAGAGCCTGACTCTTAATCTTCTGAAACGTCAATGATATATTTGTCGGATCGTCAATCGCTTTGAGGAACATACTCCTATAGGATCATCCCACAGGTTGCTTCTGTGCTTGTCTTGGTTACTTCTCGGTCGTCGACTGTCTGGGTGCTTCTAGTACAAATCCTGAAAGCATCTTACTACCTTGGATGCCATGCTGACACCAAAAACATGGATTCCATGGATGAACGGAGGGAATATACACAACAACAACAGAACTCCTGGCTCCAATGTTAATGTCAAAGCTACATGAACCGCCCAATTTTGAAATTTGCTTGTCCTTTGAGTCTGGCTGGGGGGGATCAAATGTTAACTTTTGATCAAGAATACACCTGAGCTAGATGGTAAGACATCGTACTGTAAAATCCTGTCTTTTGGCTTTAATCATCTCCAGAGTCCTAGGGGTTATATACCTGTTATAACAACAGTCAACAAACACCCATATAGAATCTTGATGAATAACCCCTTCAAAGGAGGTTAATTATACAGATTCATACAGCAAACAATCCAAACGGTGTGTTTTTGATTTAATCAACAGTCAACATCTATCCCTGGGATTCCCAAGTAAATGCTTTCCCTGAGAAAACACAACAACAAACTCCAACGTCGAATGTTCGGGCTTCCGCACGCGCCGGTGCAGCACTCGCACCGGCGTCTTCTGTTGTACCTCCCACCGACGAGGACGTCTTCGCGGTCGCACCGGTCGCAATCGCACCGGTCCAGCACCCCAGTACGACACACTCACGTGTCTCGTGAGTGTGTCTTGCTGCAACGGGAAGCTTATATGGCACCCTTCCTCATCCTGCTTTTTGGAAGAAGAGTGTCCGAGCGCTGCAGAAGGCTCTCAAAAGTTCCAAAGATTTCAAAACACTGAAAAATATACATCCCAAACCTCCGCCAGCACCCTCAGTCACCTCTGCCACAAAAAGGCTTCTTGCGCCTGAAGAGCTCTCAATTAAAATGACTTGGTAGTGAGGCTAGACCGTGTGGGTCTCCAACCTGAATACTTCCACCATCATCCAGTCCACACTCCTGTCGTCTCCAGCTCTACCAGCACCCTCACCTCACTTCACCGACTCGCCGTCGCCACGTCACCGCCGTCCCCGACTGACTGAGCCGTTGCCTCAAAGGACTGCTGCGCGTTCAGCCGCGCCACCTCTGCGGTGGAGATACTCCGCTCGCACCAGCAGACCTGCTGCGGGCGCCGGTGAAGCGCGGGTGCGCCGCGCCAAGCCCACCGGTCGACCGGGGATGAGCTCGGGGTGGATTCGGGGATGAAGGGGAAGGGATGGTTGGAGTTGCTTGTAAGGAACTGGGAACAAAAGACATCTATTCCACCAGAAGTGGATTTGCCTTATAGGAACCTTAAGGGGCCGCGTAAATCGCGGGGGTCGAGGCGCATGGCTTTGGGCTCCATTCGAAACCAGGTGATGGGCGCATTGATGTGGAGCCCAATGCCAAGTCCACGAAATAGAATCAGTTCCACTTAAGCGTCATTCCACGTAAACAATGACACGTACCTATGACACAGCTACGGCTTCAAACTGACCGATCGGTCGACCCCGTTTCAACCAGCACGTCTCCTTCCCCGTTTCAACCATGGCACAGGGATTCACCGATCGGTTGACCGATTCAAAGACTTTGAATGGAAACATCTGCCATCTGCCCCTCCCCCCAGGTGATGGCTAAAGATTTCGTCCATGAATTGATAGATAGCTGCTGGGGATGGATAGTTCCCTGGACCATGACCATGACGGCAAAAACGATGTGAGCGGCGATCGGTGGGTCGATCCATTGGTAGGTCGTCCGACCATGGCACCACGTGTTGCTATCAAAACTAGTAAGGACGACATATCACCTGACAAATGGACAAGAAGAATAGCATACAATCCCTACAGGTCAAAGACCTCATTTGACCAAGCTGGTCGTGTACAGAAACATTACTCAATACTGAGTCAGGTTTTACTGGGTCTTTGGACATGTAGGGGGAATAGCTGTGCTGTCTCATGTGGTTTCCTTATTGTGGTGTGTTTTATGCAAACCGCGATGTCTGCCTGACTGGGACTTCGAATCTTTTTACGTTGGAGTCACATCCTCGGTGCTGAACACTTTTTGAGGCTCCCAACCGCCAAATACCTGCGCAGTCACTGAGCAATTGGGGTTGGATGGAAAACTGGTGCAGTGAGGTGCATTAATAAGACATACCCTCAAACGGAAGGGTACTGACAGGGGGAAAAAAGAACTTCACCGCAAGCAAAACCAGGATGGCCAGGCCCTAGGGCCCCAACCACCAAATCCAAGTGGAAGTAGATGGACCTTCAATAAGGAATGATTTCTTCTTGGCGTTAGGGCAAATTGATATTTAACTCTTCAGTCCTGTGGATGGTCTGGGTTTATTTTTCTTTCTCGACAAATGCCTTCCCAACGCCCCGCCCTTTCCTTCCGTTCTCAACGATGAGCGCCTTCTCTGCAGTGGATTTGCATGCATGGTGCTGTGCACGAAGTGAGTCGACTGTTGATAACCCCCCATATGAAAAGGCTTTACAATGGGCATCTTGGCCCAAAGCCATTTGCCTTAGGGCACGCCGGGTTCCCGCGGCTCTGCTGCCTGTCTCCCGACAGGGGTGGAGCGTCCACCAAGGCCGTTGGCCGACTCGCCTGTGAGCTTTGTTGTGCCTCACGCCCGTTTGCGCCATGGCTGGATCTTTTGACCATTTGCTGCAGGGCGCTGAGCACCTGGAGGACCCTTGGAGAGGCCGATTGATTTCCTTTTTGGAGGCTCATCGTTCAGCTGGTCACCTGCTGCATGTGGGTGATAGGATCCTCCTTGTTGGAAAGGTCGAAGCTGTGACAGATGCGGTGATTGAGATTGCACCTCTGGAATTTTGTCCGGGCCGTGGATTTGCTGAACCTACGGTGGGACAAAACAAGATTCGAATCTATGTGCCTGGGCTGAGCCGGAGATCAGCTTTGCCCGTTGTGGATGATGAGATTGTTTGCCATGGGAAACAAATCCGCACATAGAGTGTTGGGATGCTCTTGCATTGGCGGAGGACACCATCATTATTCCCCGTGCTCATTTCAAGCCGCATGAACCTTTTCATGTGCTGCACTTATTTGCAGGAGGATTCGGTGGCTGGTCCCGGGCTATGCACTGGCTTGCCAGAGAGGTTCCGCACATCAGCATTGCCACCGAGCTTTTTGTGGACAACGATGACAAGGTGATGGATGTGTGGTCCTACCAGACAGGATTGCGATACCACAAAGGCAAATCAGTGAGTGCTGGACAGGTGAACTTAGCTGCCAAAGCTGGCCTGTGTACGAGCGTTGATGATCCCACGATCCTGCATTGTTGGAAATGTGCAAGCAACTCCGTTGCAACCGCTTCACCACCCTGCATTTCGTGGTCGCAAGGCGGCAAACGCCAGGGCTTGAGCTGTTCCAGCGGTTTCGCGATGGCTGAAACAGTCATGCTCGCTGAAGTGCACCAACCACTTCTCCTGTTTTTGGAGTGTGCAGATACCACAGTCTCACACGAGCATTTCCCCTTAGTGGAGAACATGTTGCATCTTATTGGGTACCGTAAGGTATGGCACCAAGTTGTTGCAATGCACCACTTGTCCAATAACTCTCGCTCCAGATGGCTTGCAGTTTGGGCTCGTGTGGATTTAGCCCTTCGACCCCATGAAGCAAACTTCGATCTTCGGGCACCGCCATTGGTAAAATGGAATGATCCATCCAATGAATTTTGGACCCCAGAATCTTTCCACTGCCAGCTTCAACTGTCAGCGGAGGCACTTTCGAAATACGGAAACCCAGGGTTGCTCCCACCTGCCAAACGTGCCAGGACCAATGCTGAGACCTCCACTCAGGAGACGCTTCAACTGAGGCTTGCTGACACCACTCAGCCCTTGCCGACCTTGTGCAGTTCATACACCAGGCAACACCTTTTGCAAGCTGAACATGTCATGGCCAAGGGCATTTTTGCTTCGTTGCAGATCGTTGCCGATAAAGTGTGCTTCTTATGCCCTACACGGTTTGTCCCACTGTTCGGCACTACAGACAAGATTGTACTTCCGAGTGATGCATCCTTTGCATTCCATATCCTTGGAAACGCCATCACTCAATCACAGGCGACCTTGTGCCTCGCTGTTGGGTTTCAAGCGCTCCTTGCTGAGGACCTGGCACCAGTACAACTTGTTCAAAAGGCGTGGGAACAGCGTCTCACAAGTCAGAATGCCCTTGTGCAAGTCTTCGAACAGTGGCTGACCATCAGCAGGGTCGAGGACATTGCTGCCTGCATGGTACCAAGGACCTTGCCTTTGTC